TCAAAGCAGTTGCCCATTGAAATCCTGAATAATGTGTCTATTGTATGGTGCACATATTTTAATCTTCCAAATTTTCAAATATGAAGTACATCCATTTGTCAAATTTCATTCCTTTGCATACCTTTAAGCTTGCTTCCTGCAGGTAAAGGAGTTTGGTTATAGAAGGAGCAAGTAAGACAATGTTTTATGATTTCATTGTCTTGTTGCCTAGTGATGGAGAATCCTTGTTTAAACCTTTACTATTGACATGATTTTTTTATGAAAATTTGAGGCTTCCAGCACTCTTCCTATTAATAACTGACCAATTCTATGACCACAGAGAAGGAAAATCCGGAACCCACTGAGAACCAGAGTACAGAAAGCACTGCATTAGCAGTGTTAGTTTCTTTTCCCATTGATTTGACAAACTCTAGCAGTAAGCAACGTAAGTGAGGAACTTTCATTTTGGCTCACAGTTTGAAGGTCCAGTCAAATCATTAAAGGGAACTCACAGTGGGAGGAACATGAGACAGCCAGTCACACTGAATCCAGAGTCCAGAAAAAGAGAAAGAAGGAAGTTGGTGACAGCGCTGTCTCTCCCTCTTATTCAGTCCTGGAATCTGGACCACGGATGGTGCCTCCCGCACTTAGGATCTTCCCATCTTAGTTAACCCAATATAGAAGCCTCCTCTCCGACAGTCCCCGAGATATGACTCATGGGAGAATCTACAACCTGTCCAGTTAACAAGGCCTGTCCTTCCTGTAAGTCCCACCTTATGGCTAAGGGTGAGTCATTTCTAAGATACAATTTGAGTCTTTGTCTAGTTTTCTGTCCTTTATATAGTCCTATCAAGAAAGTAAAGGTGTATTATACTACCAAGTACTTACTGAATGCTTGGGCTAAGTTTTCAGTTGCTGTTTGCTGCATTTGACTTTTTTTTAGAAACGGTCACTGCGTTGTGTAGTCTCATGCCTAAGTAACTGAAGCCTGACCTAAGACAATGATGAAAGAGAAAGAAAGACCTGGAGGTGCTGTGGCAGATGTCTTACATATATGTAACTTGGTACTTGAATAGAGGGGAAGCTAAAACATAACCCCTTTATCATTGTTAATGAAAACCCAGTTACTTGTGAAGAATCTAGTGATATTATGACATTGCCATTTGTGGCCGTGATAAGTAACAATATTTTTCATAAATTGCTTTTATTAGAAATTGAAATTTAGTCTTTTGCCAACTTTATTTTCTAGCTATATCAGGGCATTATAGCAAGTTATTTTCAAATGGAAAAAAGTCACATGAAGAAATTAATCTATTTTATTCTATGAAACAGTAAAATCATTCTTTAAGTCTGAATGCTCCACTAAAAGGTCTCAATTTTCTACTAAATCATTCCATACACCATTACCTGTTCTTTAATGCTAAACTCCTGACTCCATACCAAAGTATTTCAGCACTTGGGACAATTCATGCTGCCCTTGTAATTACAGGCACAGTTTTTTTAGGGAGTGTATGGAATTTTAATGGTGATTTTAAACTCTCTAAAGTCCAGTCACTATAGGAATTATAACTTCCAGAATATGTGTGTGTGTGAATATGTGCGAATGCATGCACATATGCATGCACATGCATACATGTGTGTGATCTTTCGACTAAATGCTAAAGTATTGATAAACATATTTTCATTGCAGTTTAAGTGATGCATACTAAGCAATATAGAAATTATAAGACTTTTAAATTTCTACAATTTGCCGTGCAAAAAGTAAGAGTTTGTTAAGTGATTCTGACTGTGGCCCAGTATGAAATGTATTACACAATAGTATCTCAGAACAGACTCGAGAGGGAGTTCTATAAATGTACTATTGTGAGCACTGAAGCCAGGCTGTCTGCTTCGAACCCCAGCTCTTCCCGTAACTGCATGTCACGCTGCCCTATTTCTCTTCTCACTGTCTTTATTTACATGGGGGATGATAAGATTATTAGTGCTCACAGGGATGGTGAGAGGATCAAAGGCATTATCAAGCATACAGCGTTAAAATAGCGCCCAGCACACAGTGAGAACTATGTGATCATTCTCCATTAAAATCTTTTAGATGTGACATATTTAGCTTTAATGGTTATCTCTTTCGTTAGTTTGTTTTCAGGTGGCTATACAATCTCAGAAAAGTAGATTTCAGTCACCGAGTTTAGTCTCTTCTACATGGTCATTTTGATCTTTGAAGCATTTCAAAACTAACATATCTGACCTTTCTAAAATAATCAGCAAAACTTCTTTCCATACACCAGTGCAAGGTGCACTACTAATAACACAAACCCTGAAATCACAAAGCCAGAGGTATCATTAGGTGATAGGTGCCGCCATTGCTAGAAAATAAGATTTCATCAGTAGATGGGACGAGGAATTAATAGCTTAAATTTTTAAACAAACAATATTATTTTAGACTATAGGATATTTAAAGATGCTATATCACATGAGCAGTGTATTTCCCAATAAAAATCCTGAAATCCATTTGCTTGATATGTCGCCATCCCTCAGCTTTCATTTCTCTTGGAGAGAAAGCTCCCCCCTTCATGTTTCATGTAGATACAACTACTACGTTTCAAGTAATCTTTATGTACAATAATATTACTGGAAGCCTTAATAATAGATATCCATCCAAGCCTTAAGCTAAGTATCCATTTCATTTGGTGTTTTATGCTTTTTAATTTAAAGGTTTCATAGATTAATAAACCTTTCCTAAGTGAGTACTGTACTTAAGTCATTTCTATTCATCCTTCCTCTAATTTCTATCATATCTCCCCCCACACACACTCCCTCTCATGCTCATGACCTTGGTTATAATTTTCTTTGTTTTAGAGAGAGAGAGAGAGAGAGAGAGAGAGAGAGAGAGAGAGAGAGGACAAACTGAGTCCATTTAATGATGTTATTATGTACATGTGTTTAGAGTCAACCACCCTTTTCAGGATTGGATAATTTATCACTGGCCACATCCCTAGGGGAAGAAGATGGATTATTCCTCTCTTGCAGTCATTGATTGCTGTAGCTGTCCTCTAGAGACAAGGCCTTCTGAAATTTCCCTTATCTGCCCCATCCTGTCAACAGGTGTTATCATTACTTAGGTCTTGTTTAGGAGACATTAACATCGAGATTTCCTGGTTGCGGCATCTCGCTCCTGTCTAGAAGGCACAGCTCAGCTGCTGAAGACAAAGGCTCCCGTTTCTAAACGGGTTTTATGCTTTTGCACTGTGTCTCTCTTTTACCCCTCTGGCACTCAATAACGTTGATAGCAGCATCGGCCTGACAGGAAGAGAAAACCCATACTTGTAAAAAGCATTACTGTGCTGTTTTTCAGAGCCTGTTACAAAGCCATAGCTTCAGCCTCACAGTACTTTGTCATAAGGGACATGAGTTACATGCGTCTACATCCATAGCCATAGCTTGATTAATGCAGGACTTCTCAACTGCATTTTATTCTCCATGACTTAAAGCACAGTTGTTACATATCTGTCAACCTGAGTGTGAAACAGAACAAAAGGCACTATTAATTATGCCTTACTTGTCCTGAAAAAAAAAAAAATAAGTAGCCTTTGTTAAGTGCCAGCCATCTTACTAACTGTTCTCACCCCTTTGATTCTGAGCATCTCTTGAAATTTACCACCACTTATACATTTTATATGGGTACCTGGTGAAGGTTTATTGGATAAATGGATGAATGAGTGGTAGAAATCCACTCACAGAAATGGCAGTTGTCTCCCTACATGTGGTTAAGATATTCCTTTGCCAGGTTTTACTCACAAATGTCTACTGTTTGGGGAAGGAATAGATGGATAATCCAAAATATAGTAGACTAATACACTTCAGGTATATTCATCAAACACCAAACTAATGATTAAAAACATATTAAGGCATTTGTTCATTTCAAAATTGGTTGTTTTTGGTTTTGTTTTCTTTTGGATTTTTTAATTGAATGATTTGCAAAATAAAAGTCTGGTCTTTATCCTGCCTTTGTTGTTGTTGATGTCTGAAATGATTTTTACACTCTCTCTGCCACAAAATGGTCTTATCTAATTGTTTTTATTACTTCACTTTGTCCTTGGATTCCATATTGAATGCCTACCTGTATGTTATTTACTCAGTACAAAATGCCAGGGTAGCAATAATTAGATTCCTTAGCTAGGATAGCATGATGTTTGAACTTAAACTGTGTGTAACATCACTCCTGAGTGTTTCCTTTTTCCTTATTCCTTCTCCCTCAACTGATGTGTTAAAGATGACAGAAGATATCTTTCCTATTTGCCACACCATCAAGATGTGTCTATCCAACTTGTCCTCTGTTTCTACTGTGAACTGATATGGCTGATGTCACCTAAATACCTCTAAGATACCCATGAGTCCAAGGACTTGTGGAAATATTTAGCTGACATTCTCTCTGTGTCTCGTGTACTTCCATCTGATAGCTTTATAGGAAATGAATTAGAAAACTAAAACCTACTTTCAGATGGGCAGGCTGCTCCCATTTGCCCCAGCCCCGTGAGTGACAGGAGAAGCATACAGCTACAGTAGCCCTCCTCCCAATAATCAAATTTCTTGATAGAGACATGGACATGTTTTTGATGTAACTCATGCAATTTTTGGCAAGCTTTATAAAGGCTAAATCAATGCTAAATCAGAGGTATTTACAACACCCACAAATTTAATCCAAAGAGGATACTTAAAAGCTCATATAGATCTAAATGATGTTCCCCCAGATGGTGAATTAATGTGATTTTAGCAGGAAGCAAAGTTGCACAAATATGCAGTATTGAGGCCTCGCACTGGTTTAATGTATCTGAAGCCACCACAGCACAGATGTTGCGTATCACGTTGGTGCCAGTTGCTTGTCTCTCTCTCTCCACTACAAAGGGAAGAATGGGATTCGGGAGCTCAGGAAAACATGCTTCGTTTTCTTACTAATAATTTGTCAGTAATTGAAGCTTTTGGTGACTCTTATATCGAAATGATTTTTGTTATGTTCTTTTCAGGGTTTGAAAGGTGACCTGGGTCCTCAAGGTCCACCTGGCCCAAAAGGAGAAAAGGTACTGTATCTACCCCTGAGTGTCCCGACCTTGTTTTAAGACCCACCTCCCCAGAAAACTGAGTGACTGTTTGTAGACCGCATCTGGTTGCACAAACATCTTTGTTATTATTATTATTATTATTATTTATTAAAGATTTATGTCTCTTCCCCGCCACTGCCTCCCATTTCCCTCCCCCTCCCCCGACCAAGTCCCCCTCCCTCGTCAGCCCAAAGAGCAATCAGGGTTCCCTGCCCTGTGGGAAGTCCAAGGACCACCCACCTCCATCCAGGTCTAGTAAGGTGAACATCCAAACTGCCTAGGCTCCCACAAAGCCAGTACGTGCAGTAGGATCAAAAACCCATTGCCATTGTTCTTGAGTTCTCAGTAGTCCTCCTTGTCCGCTATGTTCAGCGAGTCCGGTTTTATCCCATGCTTTTTCAGACCCGGGCCACAAACATCTTGAGATTAGTGGAAGGCTGTTATATGAAAATCCTCTGAGCAAGGAAAGCCTTTTGGTTGCTTTAGTGTGAGAGACTGTGTGTGTGCCGCCATAGCTGACATTAACACACGTGTGAAACCTCCTGTTTCTCACCTTTGCTTGACGGCATGAGGTGTCCCAACACCACATTAGCAAAGGTGTCCTATGTCAGGAAACTCAGCCAACAACCCCAAGCTGTCACCTTAATGATCAGGCAGGAGGCTTTTCGGGGAAGGAAGCTAACGTCATGCCTCAGCCTTAGATTAAATGCTCCATTTCTTGTGTACCACTTTATAAAAGGATTTTGGCAGTGGCCTCTCAGGGAGAGCTAACAAATATTAAAGGTAAGGGTTGTGTTGAGTAAGGTAAGTTAGCAACCCTGATTTCATGGGAGTTGTGCATTCTGCATTTTATTGTCCATGGTCAACAGATGCAGAATTCCTTGTCTATCCTACATATTTCTCTTTGAATTAGAGATGATCTCACAGAGCAATTTTTAGAGACTGATTTTAGTTCCTTAACAACTGGTATTTTAGTGAAATGGTTGCGAAAATAATGAATATACAATGCTATGTCTTAAAACTAGAGATAATTGTGTTTAATGAGAAGAAGCGGAAAGCCTAGATAAAATTGGCATGACAGACCCATGGCATGCTCTACAGGAACATGGACTCCATAATGTTCTCGGCAACAAAAATCACAGGAAAAAACACCCAGGCCCAATGACAGCATTCTTGTAAATGAGTAGAGCCCCTGAGACAGCAAAACCCTGCAGTAACACATCATGAGCTAGTGGACGCTTTTTCAAAACCTTTGTTTTTAAACCGGGTCTCACTATGTAGCCCTGGCTGGCCTGGAATTTGCTATGTCATATATATCCTCCTGCCTCTGCCTTTCTAGAGCTGGGAATTAAAGTGTACACCACTCTCACTACAGACAGCCTTTTCAAAGACTTTTTAATAGCTAACACACATGTCTGGATTCATGTAGGTCAACAAAGCTATCCTAGCCCTGGAAAACACTCAGATGGAGGAAAAGCCTCTGAATGCCCCAGACACGAGTGATGCCTACTAAGCAGAGCCTAGAAGAGGTGGTGGGAACTGTTCCTTGCAGCTGGAAGGCACGGAGTGGGGAGGATCCACTTATTATTTCTGCTGATGCTCATGCTAACTTTGTCAGAAAAATTATCCGTCGCTATGACGCTTCCCAGCTGCTCTGTTGGCAAGTAACCGTATTTGGAAAGATAATTTTTTCCTAATTTTGGATTCATAGTCAGAAGAATAGAAAACTAGATTATTTTAGTTTTTCAAAACACGTTTTGCTACCGCAGAAAGCACAAGGGCACACAAGGCGATTTTTATATCATAAATTCTAAGGGGAACATGATAAAGCTCTCATTACACAGAAAATTTTATCCAGAAAAATTCTATTTTTATGTCTTTTCAGATTATGAATTTTGTGGTAGGGAAATGGGGGAGTCTGGGAGGAACTGGGAAATGGGGAAAGAATATGATCAAAATATATCATATGAAATTCTTAAAGAATAAGTAAAGACATAAAAATAGATTTATCTATATGTATTGCTTCTTTCCAGAAACTGAAATAATGTGTAGAAAGGTGCTGATGGTAATTGCAACTTTTCTCTCACCTATTTTAGGGTGATATGGGACCTCCAGGGCCACCAACCTCAACTGTAAGTAATCTTAAACCAAAATAAATAAATAAATAAAATTAAAATGTTCTATTTGCTATCCATACTAGCAAATACAATTTAAGCTAAGCAATATTACAGGAATTGATGGTGGAATCAGAATATGACTAGCAAACCTTCTCCTTTTACAGATGGGATTCTTCCCTGAACAGTGAAGTACTTGACCCAAGATCTTAAGATTATTTCCCACAGGAGTCTGTAATCAGTATCTACCTCAAACAATTCTCTACATCCTTACCATGGTTAATACCATATCTCTGTGTTTGACTGCACATTCTTTTGTAATAAAATATGTGAGTAAATGGAAATAGCAAGTACTACTTAGTCTAAAAATTTTAAGAGTAACACCAGACATAACCATCCAGTAAGGAGAACAGATAGCTCCTCGCCTCCCTTTTTTTTTTTTTATTCTCCCCACCCCACCACTTAACATGGTATCACTACTGAGCACCCCTGGCTCACCCAGAACTCGGGAACTCAGTATGTTGCCCAGGCTGGCTTTGAACACATAGAGACCTGCCTGCATCTGCCTGCTAAGTGCTGTGGTTAAAGGTGTGTCCCATGATGTCCAGCCAACAGCTACACTTTCCCACTGATAGTTACTTTGCCCCCAAACCTGCCAGAAGCTATTGATATTTTCCCATGATTCCTTGTAAGAATTGCAAATGGTAAAATGGCAAAGGATTCATAAGAAAATGCAATAATGTGCACATGATAGGATAGTTGTCAATTAAATATCTCATCATTTCTTAAGCACCTAATCAAAAATATACAAAATATTTCCATTTAGGTACAACTTATTACTACAAATTTTCTGCATAGAGCATTAAAGATTCTTGTTTAACTTAAGAAATACTCTAAGCTTAATGGAAAAGAAAAAGGCTTTTTTATTTTATTTTTTTAAAGATTTTTTTATTTATTATACAGTGTTTTGTCTATCTGTGTGCTTGCTGGCCAGAAGAGGGCACCAGAACTCATTACAGATGGCTGTGAGCCACCATGTGGTTGCTGGGAATTGAACTCAGGACCTATGGAAGAGCAGTCAGTGCTCTTAACCTCTGAGCCATCTCTCCAGCCCAAGAAGGCATTTTTAAAGATCAAGTGTAGGTTTGTCAAATTTGGTGTTGATATTATGGATGATATAAATGAAGCATTAAGTCACTAATATTCGGAGACCCCTGATGAAGGTAGAAAGTCAGGGCTTGTAAGCATGTCTCCCAGCACTCTGGATGAAGCATTGCTATCTGTAGAGCACAGGAATTTGTGGTGTTTTGATTTTATACATGTGTAATTTTTTTAGAAGTTGAACACCCCAAACGGAATGATAGTAATGTCTTGCTCACCTTTTCCAACTGGCATTTAAGGAAAAGGTGTTTCTTGGTATACAAGAAACTCAAGAAGCCAAAAAAGGGTCTTACTTAAGAATAGCCAGATTCTTTAAGACTTTTTTTTTCAAAGTGGAACAAAATTATTTTGAAAGAAACGTTTACCTTTAATGCCTTCCATTTTATACATTTTGGAATTAAAACTTTATTTGGCTTCATTTAGAGTTAGGCTTGCTTATCTTGTGCAAGGCATGGCTGCTTTTCTGCAGCTAAGCCAACTACTTCACTTAGTCATTTGATTTCCTAGTCATTTTCAACTTCTGTTTGAAGGCTGATATGTGATCTTTATCATTTCACTTGAAATGGAATTTTGGAGCCTCACCTGGGAAATTGTATAGGATTCTATCTTCCTTGTGCCTGTTTCATAGCAGCTGAGGCCCTTCTGCTATGGAACACCCCATGGTGGTCTCTGCCGTTCATCTAGGATGCACTTACGGAGATAAAATAAGATATTTTTGCATTGTGGTATCTAATGATATGGCAAATCCGAGTCCCAATGAAAAGCGTTGCATTTTAAAAAATGAAATAATAATGTTATGTGGGTATTGTTATTTGATATTCTTGCCATTAATTCGTTTTCTTATGTAGACAATGAATCATCATCTATAAATAGGGGTGAATTGAGGTTAATATCAACCTACAAGCTCTAAATATTTAATTTGTCTTATAATGCAGGTTAATATTTTATTAATTGAAGTAACTGATACCAGTCTTTCAGGAAGCCAAAATGACTAACTGATCTATAATATATTAAACAAGACAGTGATATATCAAAGAGTTCATCCATAATAGTTCCCAAAACCAGCTGCTCACTAAAATCCCACGGAAAGCTCTAGCAAATTCCAGCATTGGGCCTCCATTCCCCCCAAATTCTATTTTAATAAGTCTAATGTGGAGCCAGGACATTTTTAAAGCCCCACAAGTCAAGCTAAATATGAAAATGGAGTGAAAACCATTGTTTATAAAAACTGTAGTGAAACAAGCTTTGTTTCTGCCCGCAATTTAAAAAAAAAAAAATGTTGGGGCACTCTGATTTTGAAATTCGACTTAAGGAACAACAATAAAGAAATATCTCTTTCTTGGGGAACCACCTTGGCAAAAATCAAGATACAAAATGGCTTGATTAAGTAGAGGGGGTTAGGTCTAGGAACACCTTTCAATTACAACTTTAATCCAACTATTCAAGTATGCCTGCTGGGTTAGATGCCTTAATGCATCTCAAAATTTAAAGTGCGCAGGAGCCACCCAGGGAATCTTATTCAAGTGCATAGTTTTATACTGTAAGTGTGGGGCTGAGACTAGAAATTATATATTCTCAGTAAGTACCTACTTGAAAGCTGAAGGTACCCCCGGTCTATGGCTCCAACAAAGCTTAATGCTCTTTCTGGCTCACCACCTTATTTCACAGGTCAGTGGCTCTCCATCTTTACTTCACATTCAAATCACCGCAGACACTTTTTGAAAAGATGTGACTTTTAGGCTATAGTCTATACCAATGAAGTTAGAACCTCTTGGAAAAAAACTATGCAGTCGGAGGTTAAATTTTCCTAAGGCAACTTTTACATAGTTTGAGAGCCATGGTCTTGAAAGCACACCTAGCGATTTCAGCAACTTCCTCTTGAAATTCTGGAACAAACATTTTGGAGTCACTCATTAGTATTTGTATAAGAAATAACCAACATGATCACTTTAGAGACTTCTGGGAGAGAACCAACCCTTCAGTAAAACCTAATATTTAGTACTGATGACTTCATTGTGAAGGATAAACGTCAAACTACATATTTGCAATCTACTGGCAAGTCCAACAGGGATTTTTCTATTTCCTAAGCAAATCCACAAGTATTGATAATTCCAAGTCATAGAGTACTAAGGACTATCCGAGTTTACACTGTTGAGCTGGGTAAGGAGAGTGAACAGGCTGGATTATTTTCCTCACTTAAGCCATAGTACTTACTCATTTTGATTTACCATAAAGATTTTTTTAACAATGAATGAAGAGAAATAACAATTGAGCATAATTTCTTTGCATGCAGGAAGTTTGTGCAGGGCTAAGTTTATTGCAGTTATTTATCCCCATGAATCCTTGTGCTTTGGCTATTGGCTCAAGTAAAACTACATCGTAAGTAATTCAAAATAGTATCCAAAACCATCTATTCTCATTAACGGTATTTTTATTTCTTATTTGGACTTTCTAACTTCTCACATATAACTATAACTGGGTCTCAGTGAAGTGGGTAAAGGAGGGACAGAAGCCAAGTTCGCAAGGAACTGAGAAAAGTTGGTGCAAAGGAACAAGGACAGAGCCCTGGAAGCAGGTTCTCTAGAGAAGTCCGATTACAGTAGTTCTTATGCTCTCTGCCACTCACAGCCACCCACTGTTTCTCCTTGTACAGGACGCCTTAGAAAATAGAGAGAACAGGGCTGACAAGATTGACCAAAATGGCAGTGCTGTTTCCACAGTCTATACTAAATTCATTCTTGACTTAGTGAAAGTAGTTTATGTTCAGATTCCAGAGTTGAATCCCTATGATAACATTCAGTTTCTGTAGGTTCATCTTCACAGATCATATAGACAGAACTCCACAGTTACCACGTGAGGGGAGAAATAGTTACCCAAAACCAAATAGACAAACAAAAACACCAGGATGTGGAGGAGGAGAAAGAAAGGCCAGCAAGGAAGGAAGGAAAAGAAGAGAAGGAAGAAAGGCTAAAAGGAAGGAGGAGAGAGGGAGGAAGGAAAAAAGGAATAATCTGGGAACTAAAAGCATAAAGATGAGTGACCCCCGTGTCTCTTCTATCCTTAACTTTTAATTATTCTATCAGACTCCCGGATTTACAAATCTGAATGATGATTTTTGACATCATGTGAATAAAGTTTTGATCTTCCCAGATGCCTTCTTTAAAGCTTTCCCAGATTATTCTAATAGCAAAAAATTAAGGAGTAACCTCAAGAACAACCCAGTGAATCTGAGAGTGGAACAATCTACAAAACCTTGCCCAAGAATCTTCTCTAAATAATTAAACACAAAGGAAAGTTACTCTCCCTTCTTCAGCACCTATCAACTATCAGTATGTCCTCAGATAGGTCTCCAATGTCCCTCTCCCTCTACACTGAGAAAAAAATTGATATTATAATATAATTTATAATTACATCATTTCCCCTTTCCTTTTCTTCCTCAAAACCTCCCATATACACATATTTGCTCTCTTTCTAATCCATGACCTCTTTTTAAACTGTTGTTTATATACATACATGTACATGTATATTATATATGTAATATATAAGTACAACCTGACCAGAGAGAGCAATAGACATACTAACATGAATAGAAGAAAACTCAAGAGGCCTCAGTCCTACACAAAAAGCTACAGGCAGCTGAAGAATACTGAGAATGGGAGAAATGATCTTCACTAGAAGAAAGCACACCAATTGATTGCCCAGTACTAAATGGTCAACCTTGAAAATATGCTTGAATTTTTAACTGCCCCAATCTTGTGCAGGTCTTGCAAAAGTAAACATGGCCACTGTGATTTCATGTCCGGAGGACCACATTTCGCAGCAGCAATCCCTATCCTCCAGTTCTTATATTCTTTCTG